ATAAAATTAAAACTGATATTTAAAGTAGCAAAATACATAAAATCAACACCCACAAGCTCCTGTGTAAGGCAGCGAGATACAAAAAGGCTTAAGGTTCTGTTTCTTTCTTTCAGATCTAAATTAAATCAACTTGAAATGTTTAAATTCAAGATTTGTTTAATTTTACAGTGGGATATTGCAGAAGAAAGGCTTAAGGTTCTGTTTCTTTCTTTCAGATCTAAATTAAATCAACTTGAAACGTTTAAATTCAAGATTTGTTTAATTTTACAATGGGATATTGCAGAAGAAAGGCTTAAGGTTCTGTTTCTTTCTTTCAGATCTAAATTAAATCAATTTGAAACGTTTAAATTCAAGATATGTTTAATTTTACAATGGGATATTGCAGAAGAAAGGCTTAAGGTTCTGTTTCTTTCTTTCAGACACTTGTGGTTAATCATCGTGTCCGATATCTTTGCTTTATAGGAGCCGCTGCCAAACAAATCTCCTCCTTCTCTGCTGCCTTACACAGGAGCTTGTGGGTGTTGATTTTATGTATTTTGCTGCTTTAAATATCAGTTTTAATTTTAATTCTGCAATATCCCATTGTAAAATTAAACAAATCTTGAATTTAAACGTTTCAAGTTGATTTCATTTAGAAATATTTTATTTTGACTCAAAGAAAACCTTATAGAGAAGTCCAAATCATTTAAATGTCATACTATTTAATCAATAGGTATATTGACATTTTACACACGTTCGTTAATCTAGTAATCTCCCGACTATTCCCGAAGGTTCGAGAGGTGGCGTGACACTAGTCACGTGACCTCGCTGACGCAACAGTATATTAACATTTCACACACGTTCGTTAGAGGATGTGTATTCTACTTTTGGTAATATTCCACTAGGCCTACACGATATGAAATGTCTAAGCAGATAACGCCCTCTATACACAATAAATGTTATTTAAATTATCTATTGTGTGACGTTTCAACTTACGCTTGTAAAGGCATCCCTGGAGAGGTCCAATAAAAACTAAGCCAAGAACTGTTACACAACAACCCGCGAAGGTGACAAGAGTAGGAGTTATCTGGTTAAAAAATGTAAAAACAACAAAAAAATTAACTATTTCTAAAACGTTTTATATAACACCATTGTGCTAATTTACACGGATCTTCTACGAAAGCACATGAACCACAAAAACCCTTCTTGTGGGCGAAATCACGGAAAAACGAGGCTAGTGATATAGAGGATAGATGATTGTCATTGATTTTAATCTTCCTTACGTATCTAAGGGGTGGGTGGATTGTGTAACTACAGAATCAAGCATTTTTTGTAGCGGTAGTTACAAGTTCAATCATTTTTGTACTGAAAATACGTTTCGATGAGAAAGTCAATTCTAGAAGCCCCCACGTAAATTATAAACAGAACGAAAAACTTATCTAAACTATCTTTGAAGTTTGACAAGATGGTCAAAACTGATATTGTCA